ACGTGTGCGTGTGTATATGTGGGTGTGAGTGTGCACCTGTGGGTGCGCGTGCACGCGTGCATTCGTGTGTGCGTGCGTGCGTGCGTGCGTGTATATACATAACTTTCGATGATTTGCCTTGCTAGAATGAAATCATAATTCATGAGAGCTAGCAGCCATTCAGAGCAGCAGCCATCACGTGCGCACGCCATGAATGAATCGTCGTTGCGACGAAAAAATTGTATTATTGATCACGAAAAATTCCAAGATTAATGTGAGAAAAATCGTATTGAACGATCTGCCTCGCTTTCCATTTATAAATGGAAAAAAATCGCGCACATGCAGTAATGCGCAGCTATCGAACGAAGTTCACAATAGACGTCTTTTAAATGTTGAGTATTAAAATTCTCAATGTCTATACCAAAGCTGTGTAGATTTGGAGAGGCGAATGTTAATATATATTTATATATCAGGAGTACATAATAGGAGTATATATACATCCCTATTATGTACTCCTGATATATATGTATATATACACGTGTGTGCGTGTGTTGCGTGTGTGCGTGCGTGCGTGCGTGCGTGCGTGCGTGCGTGCGTGCGTGCGTGCGATGCTAAGCGGTGTCATATGGCACGAAGTCAGGTGAAACAACCAGCAACCGGTTATGTCCATTTTATGTACACTTCTGCTCAGCTTTCTGAAAAATTCATGCAGCTCAAATACTTTTTTCTGTTCTACTCACTCACGTACACAGACACTCGGATGGAATGAATAGCAGATCACGTGGTGTCATTAAAGATCAATAACAATGGACGTCGGAAATGCATGGAATTTTTGCTCACTAAGCGCACCTAATTTGCATACGTGTCTCCTAAAATTTCCTTAATAGCCACTTAACAGTTATGGATAGATGCCTAATTGCTTTCGAATTCGTATCTGCGCACAAAAAAAGATTCGACGAAAGTTTTAGGGGTATTTTAATTTTGTGCAGAACGAACGAGAATTAATTGTGTTAGTAAATGATTCAGGTATGTTAGACTGTAGAATAATGTAACATAATGTGTATGAAAATACTACGACATGACTAATATAGATGACTATAGGCATATAAAATCATTATGCAGGGGAAAGAGTAAGGCTTCTTATGTGAAACAATGTAATGTGACAATAATCTCACCATAACATGGTAACGATATGACATATCTACAAGGCTAGGGCTTCTGTAAATATATATAGCCTTCGGTTATCATAGGTGACATATCTGTCGGGGGCATCGCCTATGCCCTTATCTTCCATTATCTTTCCTAGCACGGCTAATGCCCGTCATGATGGAGCCGGCTCCATCAAGTTTTTTACAACGCAGCTCAGTTATCAGTGTAGTAACAGTACCAAATTTGGGCATATGACATCAATTATCAGCGCTCCAATAGTTGACGGAAACCGATAGCCAAAATGCTTACCGCGTGTAGGATGGTGGCAGAAGTGGATACGAGGGCGGCGTTTTTGGCATGTGAGAGGGAGGTTTAGCGAGCCGATATCTCAGCCTAGCAGTATCGCTATTGACAAGCGGTTGGTCTTGTGTAGAGAGCAAGGAATTCTGCTTAATGCAATAACATGAAATTATTCTAGACCTCGCAGGCAAAGAGATAATGTAGTCGCTGGAAATAAGCACTATTTCCCCGTTTTTTTCCGTTGTACACTTAGGTATATTATCCGCTCTTGATATAATAGTATATAATACATAATATATAATTATTAATATATAATATATATAAATAATAATATAGAGAATATAGAATATAATAGTATAATAATAAAATAATAATAAATAAAAACAAAAATAATAATATAAGAATATATAATATAATAGGGATAATAGGATAGAATAGGGATAACAGGGATAGTAGATTATCTACTTCTGAAACACATGAAGCACGAGCTACTACATATAGCACGAGCTAAGAAGGCTCGCGGAATGTGAAGTTTACAGACAGTGCAATTTCAAGCGAGAGCAACAGAATGTGTGAGCGTGCGTATACGTGCGTGCGTGCGTGCGTGCGGGTGAGGGGGTACGTGCGTATATGCACCTGTACGTGTGCGTGTGTATATGTGGGTGTGAGTGTGCACCTCTGGGTGCGGCGTGCGCGCGTGCATTCGTGGTGTGCGTGCGTGCGTGCGTGTGTGTATGTATATACATAACTTTCGATGATTTGCTTGGCTGAATGAAATCAAATTCATGAGAGCTAGCAGCCATTCAGAGCAGCAGCCATCACGGTGCGCACGCCATGAATGAATCGTCGTTGCGACGAAAAAATTGTATTATTTGATCACGAAAAATTCCAAGATAATGTTGAGAAAAATCGTATTGACGATCTGCCTCGCTTTCCATTTTATAATGGAAAAAATCGCGCACATGCCAGTAATGCGCAGCTATCGAACGAAGTTCACAATAGAGTATTATTAAAATTCTCAATGTCTACAAAGCTGTGTAGATTTGAGAGGCGAATGTTAATATATATATATATATATATATGTATATATACACGTGTGTGCGTGTGTTGCGTGTGTGCGTGCGTGCGTGCGTGCGTGTGTGTGTGTGGTGCGTGCGTGGCGTGCGTGCGTGTGTGTGGTGCGTGTGCGTGCGTGTGTGTGTATTATATCGACAACTGCTATCACGAACACAATCTGTCTCTGACTTGGCGTGCGCACTTACTAAACGACATACACACGCACGTCTTTCATATTATATGAGTGTATATGAACTGAAGCAGAGAATCATACGAATTTGCTTCCGCAATAATCAAAGAGTTAACCCGTACCGAGAGCACGTGCGGAAATCTAATGCATGAAGGCTAAACTCTATGTAATGGCAGACAAAGATGCTACTTTGCCAAAAAAAAAAAAAAAAAAAAAGCACTCTTCGCAGCTAAAGCAGAAAGCGTGTAGAGGGAAATTCACCCAGACAACCACTAGCGAATCTGAAGCCAGTGGAAGAAACGAGTTGTTGTCGTGGAGGCGTGCGGAATGGTGTGTGGTTATATATATAATCTCTTCATGTAGTTGCATGGTAACAGAACATGACGCAGAGTGTTATGTTTTGTGCTTGGTACAGCATACAGCTGGCATGGTTCTATAGCTGGCTGGCCACTTAGAAGACAAAAATTCAATTGCGTTTCTATTTTGTCTGTTTGCATATCATGCAGAATAATCGGGCCTGTAATTGAGAAACAGGATACAGCAACAGAGCACCCCAATTCAATTATGCGGCCTGCCAACACCAGAGTTGGCAGATACATGACAATACATGGTAAGTGCGGTGCAGCGCTGCGTGCACAAATGTGCTGCATGCGAGTGCCCGTGCGCGAACCTTTTGAATGTAAGTGCTGGGGTCGGGTTAACATGCGTGCATTGCGTCCGTGCAACGCACTGTGCCGTATGACATTATGTGTGCGTTGCGTGCGCCGTGCGTCGTGCGTGCATGCATGGTGCGTGCGCTGTGCGTGTATGCACTGCCAGTGAACGTATATATGCGTGCCGTGCGTGCGTGCGTGTGGATGCGATAGCGTTGGTACTGATGTTGAGTGCGGAGTAGACATCTGTGTGCATGCATGTCCGTTGCGTTTGTGTTGCGTTGTGTAGTTGCGGTGCATTGTATGGGTGTATTAGCAAAACTAGACGAGCTTCAATCGACCAAATATGCCTGATTTAAAACTCCCATTTTTAAGTACCTGTCCTCGGTCTAATATGTGCTTTCGCACGGTTCGCACGGAATAACATAATTGCAGTGCCACAAGCCCCACACAGCCACCACGCAAATGGCCACTAGACCAAACAATGCAATAATAGTAATCCGAGCAATCGACTTATAACGACAGCAAGTTAGAAATCATTCTGGAGGGAAACATGGAATTATTTTTGGCTATCAGTTCGTGTAAGCTCTTGCAGTTGTGATCGTGGCGGCGCTGGAAGCAGCAGCGGATGCGTGATGGTGGTGGGTGGTTGTCGGCGGCGGCGGTGGTTGGTGGTGGTGCTGGTGGGCTGCTAGGTGGTGGTGGTGTGATCGACATGTGGTGATGGTGCTCGGTGGCGGTGGTGGCTGGTCGGTGGGTGGTGGTGGTGGTTGGTTGGTGGTGGTGGTCAGGGTCGGTGGTGGCAGTGGGGGCTGCAGGAGTGGCCAGCCCAATACTTTCCTTAACTGCTTCAGGTTGCAGTAGATTTCTCATAATTATTAAAGAGCAGAATAGTTTCAACCTTTGCTAGTGAGCAATACACTTCTTCAGCAAATATTCAAAAGCTGAATTATGTCAAAATACTCTTCAGCAAAATAATGTGTGTATATATATATATTATATAATAATATATATATATATATTATATTATATATATACTATATAATATATATATATATATATGGTGGGTGGATGAAGAGAAAGATGAAAGATGGATGGATGGATGGAATGGATGGATGGAGTGGATGGATGGGTGGATGGATGGATGGCTGGATGGATGGTATGGATGGATGGGCTGGAGGATGGATGGATGGATGGATGGATGGCATGGATGGATGGAGGGGATGGATGGATGGATGGAATGGATGGATGATGATGGATGGATGGATGGGATGGATGGCTGGATGGATGAATGGATGGATGGATGGATGGATGGATGGATGGATGGATGGAATGGATGGATGGATGATGGCTAGATGGTGATGCGATGAATGGATGGAGGATGATGGATGGATGGATGGATGGATGATGGATGGTATGGCATGGATGGATGGATGGATGGATGGATGGATGGATGGATGGATAGATGGATGGATGGATGGATGGATGGATGGATGGATGGATGGCATGGATGGATGGAGTGTTTGGACAGACAGATGGATGGATGGATGGATGGATGTGGATGGATGGATCGATGGATAGTGATAGAACGATGGTATGGATGCATGGACAGACAAGATGGATGGATATCATATATAGATAGACAGATAGATAGATAGGTATAAATAGCTCACCAGTTGCTGCTTCTGTGAGTCACGTTCAGATATCCTTATCTTGACTAATTTGATAAGTTCCTCTATATTATAGAATTCCGCTTCCTCTAGCACCCCTGAAACACAACCAGAGACTGATGAACTGTAGAAACAATTTTATACATATATATATATTATATACTATAACATATATATTTATATAATATATAATATATATATATACCGACAATAGTGACAGTAATGCACATAAAGATGTCCATAGGAACATTATATACATGTGTGTGCGTGCGTTCTGTGCGGCGTGCGTGCGTGCGTGCGTAAATCTAGGCTGTTTTCAACACTGGAGTGACTATACGTTATGGATAATTAGTTAATTACGGATACATACATATAAGTATATATATAATAATAATATATATGTATATGTATATGTCACTATGGACTTCCATGTGCATTACCGTCACTATTATCGTAAATAAACCATTCATGACTGGTTATAATATATTCTTGCCGGTGGTCAAATGCTAAGGTTATCAGGATCAAGGAACATGAGTTTGGGTCTTCCCGGGCCTTCCCTGCCCCTCGCCTCATTTTTGATGGTGTTGAAGAACGTACGGAGGTCAATCAGTCCAAAGGAACCCTATTTCAGACTGC